ACTGTAAAGGTTTGTTACTTTCATACGAAAATGCTACTTTTTTACTCTGATGCTTCACAACGATAGCTGCTTCGAGTAAAACAAAATGAACCAATACGTCCTCCTCTCAGCACAATCTATTCTTGTGGGGTTTTCAATTTCGATAGACCAAATAAGGAATATTGCTTAAATTACATGCTTAATTAAATGGTGTTAATTAGTTACTTAAATTTCAGTATATTCGATTAGTTTTGATAGCTATTATTCAATTTCATTTCCATTTTAATTTTACCGAGTCAGTAGGAATTTGGCTTTCGGAATTTGCTGAAGTTTAGTTCTTGTAAGCAGTTGTGTTGCTAAAGTTGTATAAATCAATCATTTTACGTCGGCCTAAACTTTCTCGGAATTTGAATCGCACCTTATTGCAAAGCGTGCGAGGGAAACAGTAGAACAAAGGTAAATCGTAACATTACTCAAGTAGTTGGATTAATTTGCACAATTTATTTCGCCACGGTAAGTATTCACTGAAGTTCAAATAAGTGCACACTGGTAACTTCCCAATTTGTGATTGTGTTTGTGACCTTCTGGCTCCTGGAGTGTAATCCCTTAATGCGCATTTCAAAAGGGGATGCCTTTCCTTTCCTCCATGGGTTGCATTAAGGAAACGAGGTTTTTAATTTTAATCCCGGGGTCACACTAAAAGTGCCCCTGGATTTATATTAAATTACAGCGGATTGAGAGAACAAGGCAAAAAACGTATAGGTTGAGCTAAGATCAGCTATCCTGTTATTAATCCGTTAATTTTAACCTTTCAGTATTCATTTTGCCTAGTAGTTAAACGAAACTTTATTAGGCGTGTATGCGTCTAATTTGGGTTAGACTGTGTTATTTGCGTAATCATTTTAGCATACACTATACAAACATTCATTAACCCCCCCCCCGCTGAAAAGGTCATCCCACTTCTCATATATTTATTGCCACTTATAAAATATTAAAATAGATTGGTACCTGTCGTCCTTTGGAAATGCTATTATTGATTTATCTGAAATGGACATATCTTCAGAATGGTTGGAATTCTTATTTTTCAAACCTGGTGCCTGGAAATGTTTTCTACAAATTCGTTGTGGTTGTGTTGTGCGATCGAATTATGCCAAGAGCCAGTTGAAGTAGGCAATGAAGCCAAGGCACTGAGACTCTTTTTTTGAAATTTGGGAGCATTGAGTTTTTTGTGTGCATATTTTTCCAATGTTCCCGTGTGGAGGTCAAATATGATTTGACCCTGGGGGTAAGTTCGGATTTGCGATAGTGGGGGGGGGGGGGGGGAGGGGGGCTTAGTTCAGTTGACTTGTTGGTCATGTCGCCTCAATTCAAATACATCGCCCTACAGCCATGATCACGTAAATGAGGCTAACAGAGTTTTATTTTTTTTAACATGATTGAGTTATTTTGTGCTCGATGTTGGCCGATATTTTGGCTTATAACAAAATGAATTTGAGATCACACCAGTCAGCATCCACACACTTGCTTGGCGTTTTTTATCTCCCACTTTCATTGACTTGCTTTGCTTTCTTCCTCCAGCAACTTGGGATTAATTATTTCCGATAAGCTTCATATTTATTTTATTGAAGAGGTCTTTACAATTTTGTAGTTTTCATAAATATTTTATATGACAACATCAACTAGACATCGCCAGGCATGTCTTAGTGTTTTGGTTTTTTATCATTCATCAAAAGTCGACTTACATCAAGAAATACTAACACTACGAGGATTCAACTGCTTACACTGTTTTACTGCTATCTCAATTAATTGTTTGTTGCCCATCTCACTAATTGAGAAATTAAATGCCGTATGCAAATTTGAAGATGTTCGTTTTCTCTAATCTTTCCTAATCTCCCTCCCTTTCTAGGCGATGCTTTTGCAGTAGCCGCTACAGAAGGTGTCTTCGTGTACTCTCTGGAGAAAGCAGGCCTTGGAAGCAGTCTTCTCGGTGGTGTATCCAACTGGCTCTTTGATGCTGTCGCCGTGGATGAAGACACAACTCCATCAAATGCTCGTCTTCAACTTTCTCAAGGTAACCTCTCCACCGCTTTGGACATTGCTCTCCGATTGCAGATGCACGATCTTATTGAGGAGATCATCGAAGCTGTTCCACACAGTTTGGGTAAATTGCATTACCTAATTATATCCCAATTAAACACAAATAAGATCTATACATTTTTTGAAGGGGGGGGGGGTAATCTGGACTTAAGAGAAGCGTTAACAGTTAAACTTTCATTCGACCGTTATTCATTTAAGTTAATGCCTTAATTTATTCGAACGAATGCAGTTGGATTCATGACCCCCCCCCCCCCTCCCCTCCCCTCCCAAGAAATCGTTAAGGAATTTGTTTGGAAGCAAAATAGTTCGCCGAAGCGAAATAGGTGGCAAATATTTCTTAAGGCGAATCTTCGTGTAGCTTAAACTGATTTGCAGTAGCATTCCTTCGATGATCACCAGGTTCTTTAAAAAAATGCGTCCTACTTACAGACAAAGCGCGATTTTCCAATGTAGTTTTATGATCGTAGGTTTATTTTGAATATATGGGGCTATATTGGTTCTGTAGTTCTGAGCATGCATTTCTATTTTTAAGTGAAGTTTTATTTATTTTTGCTTTCCTTTACATTATATGATTATTGAAGCTCATGAATAAATTGCGGATAATTCTTTGAAGGGTTCCAGAAGTTTTATTTCTAGTAGATTCCCTTCTAATACACGCGAAATATCTTTTGCTATCGATGTGTTCAAATTGTTGCTTATTGGCATTCCTTCCTGGACACAACAAATAAAGCATGTTATCTTTAATCGCTGATAAGTGATATAATGCGTGAAATGGTAAAATATTCAAATAAGGGTTTAAGGAACGGAAGAGGGGCGGTGAAGGGGGGGGGGGTGGAGGTTGAGAATATGCGTCTTACTTTATTTGCCTTCAGATTACAGCACGTTGCTCAGTTCACTGCTTGGTGTTCTAAAGTTCCGAAGCTAGGTTTTCATCAATGCTCCTCTGAGTTATTGACATGATACAAATGGTTCGATATATATGCATACATACATATATATATATATATATATATATATATATATGCTATTCTATTTAAAAGGAAACAGTTATCTCTATTTTCACCTTACCAATTTGCCAGTCTTTTTTATTAGTTAACTAGCAAAGATCTCACCTCAAAATCCTGAAAAAAATAATGTTTCCAACTTGTCTAACTTCAGGTCTTATCGTGCTTATAAGATCAGACTTCAAATTCAGTAAAAAAAACAAATGTATATGACAGTTATTTCGTCAAAATAAACTCCTCTTTTTTATTCATTCAACAGTTGTCTGTGCAGGTCTTATTATGCACTTTTCGATTCACTTGGGCGTAACTGTTTTGTGTGTGTGTGTGTGTTTGCAATTTTTCTTTTATGCGGTATTCTGATGAATGCTTTTATTGCCTTTTAATGACATCCCAAAAGGAGTAAGTGATGACCTAGACAAAGTAGGTTTTCTCTTACCTCGTACTCTCTTGGTCTCTCTCTCCCCTACTTCGTATTGTTCTCTATGATATAATTTTATTGTTTTGTTTTTCGGTTTTGCGATACGGGATTTACGGCGCCAATAGCGTGGCGATAACATTGATCTAAATTTATCTGCACACATAGAGAATAACCAAAATGACAAGTGGGTTAGTGTGTGACTATCAGGAGGAGGAGGGCGACGCATTTTATTACCGTGGTGACACTAGACTTCTGAAATGTGGGTTTTAGGAAAACGCTTCCCTTTTGGAAGTTTTGGAATTATTAGTTACTCTTCTTTGTAGCGTCCTCTCTATTTTCTTCCACCTTCTCTATTTACTTCACAAATCACTCGATTGATTGCTATTCTTTTTCTCCTTATCTATTTCAACTTCCTGTTAGATTAGTTATAGGCACTCATCCTTCATTTTTGAGTTCACATATTGTTCATCTAGCTTCTATTTTCATATTGTTTCCTGAGTTTGTTTTGATATTGAGGAAGAGGAGGAGGACTGATGTGAGTAAAGAGATAAATAATGTGGCAATTGCTTGCTTTTATAGCAAGAATTTTTTTAGGAATTTCCAATTCTCATCAGTCGGCGAAAACTTACCTTTACTCCTATTTAACCATATAAGAATTGTCTGCATTTTGTTACTTGGTTTATTTCCGAGTATATTCCTCTTTCGTCGAAATGGCGAAACGTAAAAATAGAAGATGCGCAGTTGATAATCTTTATGGTTTGCGAATTTCTAGACTTATTTCAAGCGGTGAAACTTTTATTTTTAGAGTTTGAATGGTCAGCCACATTATAGGCTTTAGTAATACCTCTTTTAAGCAATCCATCATCTTGCCCCTAGGAAAAAAAGAGATGTGATTATTTTATTCCATATATATATATATATATATATATTTCAAATGGCGGGCTTTATGACACTTATCATTAGTCCTTTAGCTGACTTCGGGCTTCACAGAGGGAAGGTTCATCAAAGTAGCAGAAAGTCGAGGG